GTCTGTACAGATGTAAAGCTGCAGTCTTTACATACATGCATGCATGTTGTGTGACGATGAGGGAGTGAGACGTGTGTTGATTGTGTTGATTGTATCTGTGTGCGCGTATATATGTGTGTGTGTGTGTGTTTGAGCGTGCTCAGTGGACCAGTGAAAGGAGTTACTGTGTTACAGTGTGACAGTAAGACGAACACTGCCCCGACATCGCTTTGTTAATACAAAAAAAGAAGAAAAACGCGCTGCTTAAAATGTAACATGCTCAACTCAATTTACTGATCAATTGTTTGTTCTTGAGTATTTATTCTTATCCACGTGTGATCTTAAAATACATATACTGCAAGTGAATTTAAACATTGTATAAATGTTTTGCTTCTGTTGAAACTGTTGCAGTTGCTTAAGAGGAACAAACTTCATGTGGCTGACAGCAAGAACTTGGATCGGTCTTCCTTATCCTGTAACAAAATCATTGAAATAAAGTGATACATTCACATCTTTGAGCCCTGAAGCTTGGACTTTATTTGGTATTTACTGTATCTGCTTTTAGTGTGTATTTTACAATGATCTTGTGTTCTTTTTAATGAAAAGGTCACATGTGCCATAATTTGCTGTGATCTTGATCAGTTTTGCTGGTGCTATTCCCCCCCCCCCCCCCCTTTTTTTTTTTTTATAATCAGTTTTATCCTGAAGTTCCCTCTACCAAAGCCATTGGAGCACTGCTAATCTTACAATCCCCCAAACCATTTAATTAAATGGTCAATTAAATTTAACAGATTTAACGTACTTGTACTTTGAGTATTTCAATGTTATGCTACTTTCGGCTTTTACTTTAGATTACTCCATATTTTGAATGCAATTATTGCACTTTGTGCCCAACACTATATAATTTAAAGTTTTAGATACTTATTATTTTTACAGATTAACTTCAGTTTTATAGCCCAAGCTGTTGAGCAACATTAAAGGAACATACACATGAATAAATCAATAATTAAAATCCAATAATATCATGTATATGATTCTGATTTGTTTTTATTTCACATGACTTTAGGTATTAGGTATTTTAAACATGTTTGAATATGTAACCAGTGAATTATTATGCCATGTAAGTAAAATTATAATTTTATAACTTTTTTCAGCTATCCATCAAAAGATTAGGTTTAAATTCTGATGCAGCTCCACTTTTTACATAATAAATCTGGAGGCAGGACCACATATGAGCTTAAAAACTGTGGTTTGTACATAAATTTTCTAAACTTATTAAATATTAAATACTAAGCATTTTGATCCTCCCTGCTACCTCCAAGCACCATTGTTGGTCTGCCCTGTGCCTCCACACTTAAAAGTTATGGAAATGCTCCCGGTCAAATAGAGTCCACTATGAGTCTTTCTTCTGTTTAATGTCAAACAGCAAAATTCCAGGGGCATTATTTTTCATATGTACACAGCATATTCATCACCATTTCAGTAAATTAAATGATATAATTATCAATTAATATAATTATATTAAATTCAGATAATAATAATAATAATAATAATAATAATAATAATAATAATAATAATAAGGGCTGTCTCTCTGTTTGTTTGTTTCTTTGTCCATTAATTCCTCATAGACCATCAGGAGCTGAGTAACCAAACTTGGCACACAGGTACATCTTGGGCCCCCGAAGGTCGGTATCTATTGCAAGAGAATATAATGACCCGCTTTTAACATATAAACAACATCTATCTTTTTTAAAGTTTTCTCAGTCTGATTAAGTACATCAGCTTGTTAACTGCATCAACAGGAAAAGCTACTGTAGCATGCCAATCCACTAGTTTTTCATGGATCTTAATACATTTTTGAGTGGACACTGAGCACAACGGGCAAATACAATAAAGCTTGATCTCTCTGATTAAACAAAAATTGGTATTATGATTGAATAAATCAAACCCTGGTTAACAAAAAGGAACTAAAAAACTAGAATCACTTTAGACGTGTCTAAAACTCTCTTGAAGAGGAAAACATATCCATGTATATATCCACACAACCTAAACATGAAATTCTAGTCAAGTTAAAAGAGTTGTTACTTGTCTTTTAGGTGTATTTTATAAAAGTGTCAACAAATATGTACATGTTACTTATATGGTAATTAGAGTTTTACAACACTTGCTCATTTTATGGTCTTATTGTATCCTGTGCCAGGAGACGCCTCACTGGCATGTAATTCTGTCAACATAATAATAGATCTGTGCGATAACGCATCACGTCACCGATGTTAAGGACAGTTTTGCGCTGACATTCGGCCGCCGTTATGTAAGGAATGCAGAGCCGCTTCTCTCACCACACTGTAATGTTTGACATGAAGCTGGTAAACTGGGTTACGTTTGACCATTCCTCTACTCTCAATCACTTCTGTTGCCTTTCACTCTCTTGTCACTGCTTTTGTTCTAACAAACCTCTATTTTCATTCTTCCTGACAGAGTCATCCCTGGCTTGTCACTGACAGTTAGTCAATAAGCTACCGCAATCCAACGGGGGGAAAGAAGAAAAGGAGTTAAAGGTGTACCAGAAATAGCACTGCTGTTTTCTCCCTCTGATCTTTTTTAAAAGTGCTGAGTCACTTTGAAGTGTCTGAGTTGTGGATGAAGGGATAAGGTTTGTGTGTAAGTGTGTGTGAGAGAGATGCCAAGATTTCTATAGTGACATATTTGTGTCACGGTGACACAGAATAAAAATGCAAAACCTTATGAGACGGCGGTGAAACGGGACAAGATAGATGGTAGAAAAGAACACAGGATGAACCAGATTACTGATGAGAGATGAGGAGGCAGTGTGAGGGACAAGTGTGTCGGTCTCTCAGTCGAGGTTGATGGTTAAACAGCAAACGGCTGAGGAAGGCGTGTGAGCTCTTACATCAAAGCTATTTACAGGTGTGAACAGTAAAAACACTGAAACAGAGGAACCAGTTTGACTGACTTACTGGCCCCTGGCTGGTTAGACCACGGAGTGAAGGGAAACTGGTCAAACATCCTGCGAACCAGAAAAACTGTTTACTAAACTAATGGGTCAAATGCAGCCAGTCTGGGAGTGAAAGACGAGATGAGTCATCACTCACTATACTCACCTTTACACCTGACATCCACCTGACAGTCCGGCATAAAGAAAGCTTGGATTATACAGTATAGAGAGACCGTCTTTATATGAAAACACTGATAGAAGTGTGAATGCGATGGAATATTTATCTCATGAAGTAAGAAAGGAAGGAATGATAAGCAGGCAAGCGTTTCACAGTGGATGTTGTAATGTTGTATTGACTGATGGATCGGTAAAGGGGAGAGAATGAAGCATATCTACTCTGCAGTGAATGATATTCAAGTCTGCAGGTTTTTTTGTACTATACTCTGAAGTTTGACCCACAAGAAGTAGCTCTCCATTCTTCAGAGACATGCTCTAACGCCTGGTTTGCACTCCAACTTTGACACCAACGAAGACCAAGGAGTGCTGACTGTCGCTGATTTTCCTCCACAGTCACGTGACCTCAGCCACAATGAACAAGAAGGCAGACGGGCGTTTCACAGTGGATGACTCTGAGCTCTTTGGAACACCCAAATCATGCAGGGATAATATCAGGCTTTATACACACCTGGAGAGTACATGTCAGTTAAAATGACTGCAATTCAGAGCAAAATCAAATGTAGGAAATAATTAAAAATCATCCTGTCCTTAAAGGTCTAAAAAAACATTTTTGATCGACTGCTCGCCAGCAAGTGTGAGCCCCCCTATGAAAGCAGAAGTTCGGGCAGTTTTTCAGGTGCTGCACTGACACAGCAGTGATGATCTTAGACATCAATCGGGAAAGGGTTCCAATTTGAAGTCTACAGTGAGGAAGATTATTCACAAGTGGAAGTCATTCAAGAGCGTTGCCAGTCTTCTCAGGAGTGCACATCCCAGCATGTTCACCCCAAGGTCAAACCATGCAATGCTCAGAGAAACTGCAAAAAAGCCTAAGAGTACCTCTTAGACTCTACTGGCCTCAGTTAGCATGTTAAATGTTAAAGTTCATGACAGGACAATTAGAAAAAGACTGAAAAAGTATGACTTGTTTGGAAGAGATGCCAAAAGAAAGCCTCTTTTCTCTAAAATCAACATGGCAGTGCAGCTTAGGTTTGCAAAGTTAGAAATCACAACAAGATTAAAATGAAGCTGTTTGACTGTAATACACAGCATTGTGTATGGAGAAAAGTAAACATAACATATCAGCACAAACAGCACAAATGAACTGTGTCAAGCACGGTGGTGGAGGGGTGATGATTTGGGACGTTGCAGACCATGAACTCCATGAACTTGTTTGTATACCAAGGTATTCTGGAGTCAAATGAGGCTATTTTTCTACTAACGGTGTTGCAATGACCCACTCAGAGATCAAATGTCAACATGAGGTTACTGAATTGAAGCAATGCTGTAAACAAAAGTGGACTTGCACAGCAAGACACTGATAAAATCATACAGGAAACCATTATTCCAAGTTATTGCTGCATGTGGTTATAGAAGCTACTGAATCGTGGGGCGCATTTGTTTTTTCACACATTATTGCAACATTTTAGATCCGTTTAAAAAAATAAATAAATATTAACTCTTGACTTTATTGTGTCCTGATACTAAAACTGACCGAGGGTGTACTTCTTTTTCTGACTGCATCAATGTTATTGCAGTTAACCAAACTAAAAACTAAAACTAGGCGTGAAAAACACTGTTTAGTTTATCCATCTGTCCAATCTTTCAATTTTATTTCATTTTAGCTCACTAAAATAATAAATCTTTTAGAGGTTTGAAAACTGATCATTAGCCAGAGTTGGAGTAAAATTGTGTGTGTGGAATCTGCAGCGCTATCAACAAATCATTGCTAAATATCTCACGGTATAGCCTCTCCCAAAACCACAAGCAGTGGTTTAAATTTCGTGCCCAGAAATGTTGCGATACCGCCATTGCCTGATTCTAAGCGTCATTGTTCTTTCGGTGGCAATGTGCAGACTTCTAGTTTGAGCATCTGCATCGGGCCTGCTCTGCATTAAAAACAGAAACAGTGAGCTGTAGGCGAGAACACCTCCCTGCTGAAAAGTAAATTTCAGCCTTGACTGCAATCTCTTTGTTCTTACACAGTAATAACATCACATGCATGCTTATAGATGTAACTGGGCTGCCCTGTCACTATAATCTACTGACAACGAGGTACTATGTTTCTGGTATTAGATGCAGTTCAAATGAAGTTATTATTTGATAAAAGAGATATAACGATCATAAAAGTCTTGAGGCAACACATTTGATTGGCGGTGGTTGTGAAGACTTGTTCTTCGTTTTGTAAAGGGTTGCGTAAATCTAAATGTTTTAATTATTTGGGAATTTATTTGCAACTCTTATTCAACATGTTCTGTGCAGGTCAGAGGTCAGAAACATAGTGCACAAGGCAGGAGACGCTGAAGTTTGTGGTTGAAAACACAGACACCAGGAGAAAAAACCCCAAACAAACCAAAAACAAAAACTTAATGGTGCATGTACCTATTGCCCCTCGGTGATATTTTACATCTTATTAATCCCGCTTTGATCTCACCGTCATATTTTAGTCTTTCTTTAAAGTAATTATGTGCTTCAATTTGATCTTTACAAAACACAAGCTGGGGCTTTTCCATCCTGGCAGGAAGTTAAATAAGAAAAAAAAAACATGACAGAACAGGTAAAACAGCTATGTATGATCCGCTGATGGTTTTCACATGAGGTGCCATCTAAATGATTTAATGGACAAATCGAGGGATGGACATCTTCCTGCTGCCAGCGCTGCAACACTTCATAAAACTGGGAAGCCCTGGAGGTCACGTGATAAAGGTCTGCCTTTTTCTGAAAGCGTGTGGGTAGGTGTGTTTTGCCTGTTAAGGTCACACCTGTCGGGCGGTGCCGCAGGCAGCATGTCGCTCATTATTTACTTTCTCTCTTGCCGGGTAGCCTTTCAGCTTGGTAGTAACAATGGCTCAGTGTTAATGCATTATGGCTGACCAGCGGAATTATAGCGCTGACCGAAGCAGGCGACACGATGAAAGATATTTACCAGACCTCGAGCTAAGCTGCTCAGCTCTTTTGAAGAAACGCGAGGAATTAAAGCACACAGGTGCGTCTGTCTTCAGCCAAAGTCTGGAGACGTTTTGGAGAACTGCCTCGTAGAACTGGGTGGTTCATGAAAGTTGTATTGCTTTTTTTCAGTTAACTATTTCGGGCTCGCGACATGGCTCTATCCCAGCTTCAGTGCCTGGATGATAACCACGTGAACCCGCGGACGCACGAGTCCAAGCCCGAGTTCTTCTACTGTGAGGACCAGCGGCTCGCGCTGGAGGTTCTCCTGCGGGATGGTCGCGAGGCGTTCTTTAAATATCTGGAGGCTCGCGGCCTCCGGGGTTTCCTCTCAGACCCGGAGCTGGAAGCTCTCACCGGCGCCGTGGAACCCTATGACCCGGGCTTGGAGCTGTTCTCGGGGGATGCCGAAGACGTGCAGACCCCGCTGTCGCTTCACTACTGGCCAGAGCTGTCGGACACGTCCATCCCGCAGATGGACCTGGGCTGGCCCGACAGCGATGCGTACCGGGGGGTGACGCGCACTACGGTGTACACGCAGCCGCCGCTGGATGGTCACGCTCACATCAAAGAGGTTGTCAGAAAAATGATCGCACAGGCGCAAAAGGTAGGTGGGCCAATGCAGTTATGATAATATTAAATGGCACTATTCATCATCACATTGTGCATTAAATAATATATAAAAATAACCCTGTTTAAGTGCGGATGAAAACTTTGTTTTCTCATCATTATTTATGTGTGTTTTGAGCTTCCTGGATGACTTGTGTGTTGGTTCATCTTCAAAGCATGCTAATGTTTACTCACCTGAGTTCATTTAATGACTGAATAAAAATCCGAAAATATTGATTTCTAGCCATCTAACTAACTTTTTTTTTCTTTAATCAGCTGTGCATAGTCCTGAAATTACCCACAGTGCTGGCATAAAGTCTAAAGAAGTCAGTATAGTCAGACTACAGACTGCTGACCAAATGAGTAAAGTGCAGCTTGATTTATGGCCATTATCAGCTATGCCACTAACAGTGGACTATGTGTGCTAGGTGGGGTATTTGCATGGGTAATTTGCAGCGCTCATGCCTATCAGTCAGTGTTTGTGTCTGTTTATGCAGCTGAGTCATCTGGAGGCAGAAATTTATGACATGTCTTATTTCTTAGCATCACTTCTCTGTGACGTGTTATTTGCCTGAAACGAGCTCGCTGGATCATTTTCCTCAAGAGCTTCAGACAGAAAACGAGTTATCGGTTGTATAAGTAGCTGTGAGAGCTGGGAGAACTTTCCCTCTGCATAGGAAACACTTATTTTACTTAAACCTGAAAAACAACTTGAGTGTTATTTGTTTTGGCATAAAAATGTGTTCGCGCAGTAACCTTAAGGCTGAGGCTTTTATCCTTCTGCTCTGTAATGAATTTTGTTTTCATTTTCATGCATGAACTACATAGGAGTATCTGAGGCTGATCTAGGTTCTGTGCCTGTGCTTCTGCGTCTCCAGGTAATCGCAGTGGTGATGGACGTCTTCACTGATGTCGACATCTTCAGAGATTTGCTTGATGCTGGTTTCAAAAGGAGAGTTTCTGTTTACATCCTGCTGGAATGTGCAACGCTACCTCATTTCTTGGCCATGTGTCGGAGGGCCAACATGCACGCCGGACACCTCAAGGTGAGCCGGTACCACCCACTTCGTCATTTTGCATAGCAATTTGAATCTTATCATGAAAGAGTGAGTCCAAATTCTAAGTAAAGCTGAAAACAGTCATAAAAGTCAGCCGTTCAGTTTTCCCACAGCACGCTGTTGGACAGACGTCGCCATTCAAAGCGGTCCACCTAGGCAATAAAAGGTGATTACGACTCAAATGATAATGAGATAGAAAGCGAAATTTCATTGTGTGACATGTGAGGTCAAAATGTTACAGGGTAAATGTTTCACTGACGAGTTGAGCGTCTTTGCCTGTTGGCCCCAAACGCGTGCATTGAAACCTTTGGGACAAAATGGAAAGTCTTGCTGTGTTTTTGAGCCTGAAATAACTTTGTAAGGCTGTTGATGTAGAACACAAGGACAGATTATCTCGCAAAATAAGCAACTGAAGTCAAGAGACTTCTGTTATGCACGGATAAACAGAAGCACATGCCGGCTTCCCCTCTCTCTTTTGTCTCTCGCTGTCTCCCTCACACGCACACACGCTAGAGTCCACACAACCACCAGTAGATCCACCCAGCTGGTACTGCAACGCAGATAAATCCCATTCTGCCTACCTTTATTGTTACATATCGTAAGTAGCTAGCTACGATCAAAACACAGATATGAAACAGATCTTTCTCGTGCCGGGACATGTTAAAAGGGAGTTGCATGGAATATAAAAATGCGTTTTCACTGAACTGTTTTCTCGGGGCATAAATCTTTTGTAGAAAGCTGCCAAAGCAAACACAATCATTTTAACTCAAGTCAACCAAAAGAAACAATTGCTTTCTGTTAGGTGTGATCATTTCTCAAGAACAGTTTAGGATAGATTACTGGTTAAAGTGTCGTTGTGCAGGATTAATGTTCTCTCATATTACTTCACTGTGTAGTGTTTTTTAATGGCTTAGTCAGCATTAGATGGGGCCTCTCACAAGGTCTGCTTGTTTCACTTGGACACAGTTTTGCTTGACAGGTGGAAGAAGGAGCTGAAATCATCCAACGCAAGGTGTTTCCAGTTGGAGTGTTTGGTTCAACTGTAAAGGATTGAAATTTTCCATGAGTACAGAAGAAAATTTAATGGAAATTTTCCATGAAATTGGCAAAATGAAATTCACCTGATTGTTATACAGTTTACACCAAGCACACTGTCCTCAACAGCTCTTTATTTGATTAAATAAATGTTTGATTTCATGTATTTCACTTACATTTTGGTCAGAATTGAAGAATAATTTTTTTTAGCCATGATCACGCCTACCGTCTGCAGCATTAGCCGTACCTTATTGGCTCGACCTGTGTGCTTAGTGGTCCCTGTAATACTGCAGAAATATTTCAAAATATCTAAAGTAGCATGCATGCGTGCAGATCATGCAGATAAGAAAATATGCACAAACACTCACACTTGTCACTTTATGCCTCAGAGTAACTAAAGTTAAACAGGCTTGACAGTCTTTCAGTACCATCTGGATCCAATTTGCCAACAAAACAGCAAGAAATTCAATAGCAGCAGTGTTTGCTTTGTCAACAAAAGCACATGTTTGTGTGGCACATGACATGATAAGTGAAAGCGGTTGCTCGGTTTAATGAGTTTTTCATATGCGATTCATACTCGCTGCATTTGCCTTTTGAATTAAATGCCATGTTATTATTTCCTACTAAGACGTCCCAGACCTTTTTCTTGCTTTAGATTCATAAGCACTGAGAATCTGTCTTTAACAGATTTACTCCTACTTGCTTCACAGTAGACACACAGGCTGAAGTTGCTCTGCTAAATTAAATATTTGATAGCACAGTGGCTCTGTATGAAGAAAAGACATTCTGTGCCACAGTTTCTTCTAATATTTATGGAGAGACAAGTGTATCTCCTTCAGGTAGGTCACTCTCTGGTTTTAGCCAACAGGAGCGTACACTGTACACCTGACAGAGAGTTTTAAAATGACATGCAAAGCTGCTATTCTGTTTAATCCACGGTGGCTCTGCAGCAAGTAAAACAACGCTGTTAAGAGATGGATCCAGTGTAGTAGGACACAATCTTGTTTGTTTGACAGCCAGCGTGCTTCCTTTCTCTTAGTCATACACTGCGAGTCTGTTAGGTTCTCCTATGAAGTGCACTGGAGGGGCTTGCTCCCTGATGTGTCCTATACTGCTGCTTTGTTATACTGGCAGGCAACCTTTGGCGTGGGGCTTATTTCACCAAGTAAAACTACATAGCCATTTATGACATTAACATTAACAGTGCACCAATAGATGCTCATCTATGTGGAAAGTCTGAAGAGCCAGGAGACAGGAGTACGTGACGACGATGAGCAGCTAACACAAACATCTCTAAAAGCGACAAGTCTGTCAAGAAAGACAATCAGAGGATGACTTGCAGGAAACAGGTGATAGTTTGGGAATTTACCACAAGCCGTAAGTGACGAGATAGAGCGGCTGGAGGGGAGGGATGGGAGGAGGAGCAGATGAGTGGTGAAATGAGTTGCCAAGTGAGTGAGAGTAAGTGGAATCTGGCACCTGAGTGGGCAATAAGGTACTAAATTCTTCTTACCCATCAGTTATTCAGGAAGGTTTTCTAGGAAAATATCCAACTGCCACACTTCAAGCTGACAGAGCTTAATTTAAGTAGTTTAGCAAAGCGTGCACATTGACTGTAGAGACTGTTGAAACCACAGTGCACTCGGAGGTGGTTTTATTTCCGCATAAAATGCATTGAACAACTGCTCAAATGCTCGTCGTCATGAACTTGGAGCGTGCAATGCAATTTATCGAATCGGTTAACCAAAGGAATGCACTGGGGGAAGGAGAAAGTTTAGGGTGTGCCTAAACGAAGGAGGAAAACAAGTGTTTCTACTGTGAGACAAAGCATGCCAGAAAAAAAGAAACGAGGAGGAGCTGAAACAAGAAGACTGACTGCATGATGTTTTGGCTGCATCATGTGGCTTTCAGACAGACTTAGCACTCAAAGTTGTGTCAAGGCATCCGGAAGGGCAGGCTGAAAATCCCCAGATCAGACAGTGTAAGTCTACACTTACAACAAACCAAAGGACTAGTGTGTCAAGGTGACTTGAGGGTCTGTTACACACCTTGCTGGGCTTATGGAGCTTATTTATGTACTGCTGAGTAACGACAACAAGAACCACACAACTTAAGGTCAACCTGTGTAATGGTGTGATTTTTTTTTTCTCTCTCCAACGTTACTGTATTATGTTTGTAAAATGAGATTGTCAGTCTAACACTTCCATGCATTCTTTTTTGGATAATACAACAATTAACTGTGATAAATCATCCATGAATATATATGTGTTGCTGTCTACATAGATTGAAATTCACATTTAACTATTACATGAACATTTCTTCTTCTACATGAATATAACCAGAATCCAACCAGCTGGCAGCCTGTTGAGTCGAGTCCCTCAAGTTGCACTCATTGACAAAAACTCAATCAGACTGATGGCAACATGCTGGCAATCTGTCTGCATTTATAAATTAGACAGCAATTCTTTGCAAACCTCCAACAATCTCTCTGAGAGTGACCTCAGTCAGTCCACATGGTCATGAGTGCAACACCCTCAATCTCTGGGCAACCACTGAGTCACCACAAGTTGCACTTGGTCGCAGAATGTGAAAAAATTCAATATTGTCACCAGGAAGCCACGCTTTTTTTTTTTCTTCTTATTTTGTAGATACAAGGAGATTGATGTCCTATGTTTAATCATGTAACTTAGGTATTAGCTTGTTGCAAATTAGGAGGTTAAGTCTGTCAGATGGTCTTTCAGTTCAGTCGATTTAATGAGAGTTTGCTTGCGTCCTGCGAGCTTATAGCACTGCCTAACTTTGTAAACCTGTTCATGGATACCTAAACCTTTATTTTTTTATTGTAACAACTGGGATCTTTTTGTTGGAGCTGAAACGAAATAAATTGTTTTTAACACTCAGCGGTATCTTAATATTTGAGAACTGAAAAAGCAATTGGACCTATAAATGGTCAATGACAACAGAGTTGACAAGCAGCTAGTGATGTAGAAAAGTGATGGAAGGAAACCATGTTTTTTAAACTGGTTTTATACAGACTTTTAGCTCTTAAACACTACAGACAATGAAGAAAAACACCCTAAAAGCACCTTTTGGGGTACTTTTAGGGTGGTAGTGTTGCATGTGCCTTTTGTTCACAGCGTTCCCACCATATTTTAATTTCTTTAATAAAATATCAATATTTAGTGTTCCTGTATTGATACAATATCACCATGCAAGTATTAGGATAAAAAATATTTGCAACATTTAAGTCTGAAAAGTTTGACTGAGTCAGACTTTCTAATATCAGATTATGATTGCAACAATGATATGTTTGGTGTATAGTTGAAAACAGGCTTTTCACAGAGGTCATGTTTGCACATGCATATGCACAGATTGCATAGGCTTAGTTGGTATCTATTTGTCTTTTGCTTTCTGAAAGTGCATTGGGTTAGATGATGATGTGAGGATTCAGTTACTGTGGTTACTTTCAAGCGCTCCAGTTTTTCTGTTAGCACTGTTCATGTACAGCATGTTTTTAAGCTCTTTCTAAAAACTCCCAGGCTTCACGCTGTCCCAGACTCCAAATATTTGAACGTTTCAGAAAGGAATCACTTTCAGTCTGAACAAAATTTCAAAGTGAAAGTAAGCTCAGGATCAGACGTTTGTTTTAGTGAGCAATCCAAACCGTGCAGCAACACCCAGCAAACATGATTAAAACTGCGGCGTCATCTCCTTGGTCAAAACTTGTCAATGATTGATGCCAGAAACTGAACCGTACATATATGGATGTTGATGTTGTGTCACGTAGAATAGTTGTTGCGTCAACCCGTCTTTTACAAAGTAAGAAATGTAGATCAGATTACTGCAAAGAAGAAATGAAAGGCATTTGTCTCTGTTTTGTTTTTTTAGTACATGATTGTGATGAGACTTTAATGCAACTTGGTCTTCTCCATGTACACAAACTAGTATTACTGCAACCTGATTTTAAGAAATAGACACTTTTAAGGTAGTCACAGTTTTGTATACCTCTGTTGTATTTCATTTGTTGCATGTTGAACCTAACATCAGGCTCTTTCCACAATGTTAGCATCATACAGTCAGGAATGATATTATTCAAATGTGCCATTAAGCTCAGTAGGATAAGTGATGAGGTCACAGGTTTCAGTCACCACAGCAGTCTGTGTAAATATATATAGTTCTCATTCATTTCATTTTTAAATTTCGTTCATTTAATTTTAATTGATGAAGAGGTTTTAGAAAACTATCCTTGAACACAAAATTACTGTTGATAGAAAGTCTAACAAGGACATCCAGATATTGTTTAAGAAGCACCTTAAACCAAGGCATCAGTTCAACTTTTATTTTGGAATTTTTTTTTTTTATTTTCAGCCACCACTAGCTGCTGAGAAAAAGTTGATTGCTATTCAATGTGTTTGGGATATTAACGGCTAATCTTTTGTTGTGGATGAATAATTTCAGACCTTTTCGTCATCTTCTATTTGCCATATTATGACGTTTGTCTCTACTAACTGGAACCGTGAACTTTTACTGAAAACAGTTTAACTCATCCTCCATCTTCCCTGTGCTAATGTTTTATATTATCCTAACCATAACTCTGTAGTATGGAAGAGGATTAGGGCCACAGGAGAAACAAAGAAAAAAAGTGGACATGTCTTTTTTCTTTTGCAGAATTCTGACTTTAATCTCAGAATTTTGCAAAAAAAAAAAAGAAAAGAAAAAGATGTTGCCACATCCCCCCCAGGTGGGCCTAATCCTCTTCACTGTAGCTAGCCACAGAGGTAGGACATAATTGTGTGCCAACTAGCACAACTTCACTAACCCTCCAAATGTTGCTACTATTTAGTTTTCTGTCTCTGTCAAAACATGGTCGAACATCTTTAGAAACTAGCTAGCTAATGTTGTGCTAGCTTATAACACAGCTAACCTTATAAATCCTCTTGTCATGGATACCTGAACGTTAAACTTTATTGTAACATCTGGGAAAATAAACGCATGGATCATTGTGTTTTAACCTAAAAACAGTACAGACTTTTTTAACACTAAGGCTACGTTCACACTGCAGGCGAAAGCGCATCAAATCCGACTTTTTTGCTATGCGACCCATATCCGATCATGGTATGACAGTATGAACGGCACAAATCCGATATTTTTAAATCCGATCTGGGTCACTTTCGTATGTGGTACTGAATCCGATACATATCCGATTTTTTAGAAAGCGACTGCTGTTTGAACGGTCATGTCGCATTAAATCCGTCTTTTACGTCACTGACACAAGACAGACGCCAATTATCAGCTCCGGAGAAGCGCCCGAGAAGACATCGCGAACGCTTCCTGGTTATCCAGTGTAGATGTCAGTGAAACTGTTGGGAAGACAACGTTGGAGAAACGTGAACATTTTATTTGTACTGTATAATCCTTTGAAGCACCGCTCCTCTCTAAAACAGCAATAAGGATAATTATTACATTTTACAAAATAACTTGAAGCAAAAATTGGGAAACGTAAAGTCCGAAACAAGTCTTTATATTAACAGCCATCAGTCAAACCATACTGCTTGGTCTGGATCTAAACAGAGTGCAGTGTGTGTGACGTCTTCTTTTGCGCATGCGGGCCGCTTTGAGGATTCACACTAGAGCGCGTTTGCTGTCACCTTTTATTTGTAGTGTGAACAAGCAGACAAAAAAATCGGATTTGATCAAAAAAATCGGAATTGAGCATCAAGACCTGCAGTGTGAACATAGCTTAAGTGGTATTTCAACATTTGTTTGATTTTGAGATCAGAAGAAGTGATTGGACCCAGAAATGGCTAATGACAATGGACAGATGGAAGGAAAACATGTTTTCTGTTGAAAGGAATAATTATTTTCATTATAGGCTTTGAGCCTTAACACATTATAGGCAAAAGCAGGTGCAGGAAAAATGACTCAGAAGGCTTATTTTATAACACATATGCTGTGCTTTTAAGAGGCATGAAAAACAGACAGTTTCCAACAAAGGTGGGGAATATAGGTTTTCAAATCAAGTAAAGACAAGCCAGACATCATAATGTGGGTTGTGTAAGTTTTAAGCAGAGTGTTTACACTGGCTGTAGTTTGTGTAATTGCTTAGATGTTTGAACACATGGAGCAATTGCCTTAGATTAAGGCAGTAAGTGGAAAATGACTGCTAATGACTTCTGTATCTATGTTTTAGGGATTATTATTAAGGCAAACAGTTGTTTGTTAGCAAAAAAAGAAAATTCTACATTGGCTACATTTGAGTTGTAAATGTTTGATATTACTATTATTTGTGGATGTTATTGTTCTTTGGCTGACGTAGTGTGACTCACGGTCTCTACTCACATTGTTTGGCAGCCTTTTATTCTATAATGCAGGTCACAGGTTATGAAGGTAGTTTTGGGTCTCTAATATGTACAAAAATTGCGTGTTTGTTTGTGTTTCAGCACCTTCGTGTCCGCTGCTCAGAAGGAGCGGAGTTCTACACGAGGTCCTGCACCAAGGTCAGAGGGCGAATGGGTCACAGATTCATGTTCGTTGATGGAGACAAAGCTGTGTCTGGGTCGTACAGGTCAGTGCGCATCACGTGTGTGAGAAGGAGGGAGAATGTGTCAGAAAAAGATTATCCCCTTGTGCTCCACCTGCTTTTGAAACTGCCAACTTGGCACAAGAGATAAATAAACAATGCCTTGTCGACATAGCAGACAAACAGGTTGTAAATGTATCCAATCTACTAGAGTAACCGTGCAGTTCCTAAGTGACTGGATTATTATACTTTTACGTTTGCAGTCATTGCTGATTACTTCATTATGCTTGCAGTGTAGTGTAGTTTGTTTTGTGGTATCGTGGTGCAGTTTAAATAAGTCTGAATTTGCATTTTTTATTTGTTCATATTTGTTTTTTGTGCAGCTTCACTTGGATGGCCTCGCGTCTGGATAGGAATCTCATCACCGTGGTTACAGGCCAGGCTGTGGATGGCTTCGACCGACTGTTTCGCTTCCTCTATCTGTCCTCCAGTTCTGTTGACCTCCGGCAGACCATCACAGAGCCTGAACCTGAGCCGGAACCCCTCCCACAGCCCGCCCCTGTCATACCCCCTTCTGCTGAGATTGCGAGGAAGTTGTACAGCCCAAAATATGCCCTGGTTGCTTTGACCAACCCCGGCCCCACCACCTCTGTTAACCAAGAAAGCCCCAAAGAACACCAAAATCCAGAGAACTCCAAGAAGAAGAGGCGAGGCAAGGCTAGTGAAGAATCGACAAAAAAATCTCCTCCTCTCCATCCTGGATTAATAAATCTAGAAAAAGCATGCTTAATCGCATACCTGCCCACATGGCCAGAACCTGACCCCCCCAGTGATGTCATAGGGTTCATTAATGTTCGGGATGCCAAAAAACCAACTCAAGTCCACTTGCAGCGTTCAGAGATGTTTGAAACCAGCCAGGCGATCAGGTTTAGCAGTCCGTTCAGCAGCACAAAGGAATCCAAGGAAGAAGTCGCCAAGCCCACACAGGCGACTCCTAAACAAGAGGAGGTGAATGCACTCCAACCAGCACAGGCTAAATCCATGGTTGATGATGCTGTAGAAAAAGCACAGCAAGCACAACTCAGTGATGTCACACATAACAAAGAGGCATCTGAACAGAAATCACCTGCATCTGAGGAAAAGTCTGACCTGCAGTCAGACGCCGCTAATTCTGTCAGCCCCAAGAATAAATTTGATTTAAGCACAACCACTAACCAAGAGGCAGGCCTTGATACTCCCCTTGGTGCACAAACACTTCCCCAATCCAGCAGCGAAGCACCCGCTTCTGACGAGGGGAAGATTTCCCACGCAGAACAACCCGTCTCATCAAACAGTCACGCTGAGTCAGGCTCGCTCCCAGAATTAAACACAGAAAAGGAAGCAGAACCTACAAGTAGATTGAGCACACAAAGTTCTGCTGTGCACAGGACACACACCCCAACACCAAACGGTGCACACACCCCTCAGATTCCCGACTCCCCAGAATTAAACACAGAACAAGGTACGAAAGAAAAGACCCCACCACCACAGGCGGATTCACAAACACGAGCTGTTCACAAGCAACCGCAAATCTCTACTGAAGTGGCTTCTAGCATCCAGACTCCAACTGTCCACAGCAACATTTCCACCTCCCTGGTTTCTGCCACACAGTCTAAAAATAACCACATTCCTATTACTACAGTGCACTCAAGCACATCTTCTAGCGCTTCTGTTCCCTCCACCAGCTCCTCTGCCCTTCCTCCTCTTACTTCTTCCGTTACAACACCAAATCCACCCCTCCCTGCATCCTCTTCTTTGACCCCAGCTCCCCCTATCCCTAAACCTCGTACCATACAGATAGTTATGAGTGACAGCAGCACCAGCAATGGGCAGAAACTGCCGGAGATCCGTCTTGTTAGGAGGCCCGAGGCCAGCACAGGGCCCCTCGTGGCCCACAGTGCGTTTGATGTGGCAGCTGTTGAGCAGACATCTCTGGTAAAAGAGTGTCAAACTGTCCCTGAGCTGCAGGACGACAGTACCAGTAAGGCAGGGGCACAAAAAGACACAGAGAACACAGGGAATCCTGAAGAAACTTCAAAGCAAGAATCTAAAGAGACAAGTGTGGAAGCAGATGAGCAAGACGATGACGGAGCAGCATCCCAGACGGTCGCTGGAAGCGAGCTGCACAAGTCAGACGCTTTGATTAATGATGCACCAAAGGCAGCCGCATTGAAAATTCAAGAAATCATTCCAAAAGATGTTGACCTCGAAACTTCCGAAGATTGCAGGATTATTGGGAAGATGGACGCACGCTGTGTAGCAACAGCGCAGGCAGATACAGCGAGCCCTGAAAGGACTCTGACAGGCTCTGAATCTGGTGACGTGTCAGACAGAAAAGGTGAAAATGTGACACAGTGCAGAACATTTCTCGCAAGAGTACATGAACCCCAAAGGATATCATTTTCTAAACCACAGGACATGGATCAGATGGAGGCTCTGAATTCTTCGACAGCGCCAGTGTTCTCGACCTCATGTCTGCGACCTCATAACGGCGATGGCGCACACACATCTGCTACAGACACCCACAGCCAGCAAGGTGAACAAGTAAGACTCACACATGTAGACAATGAGGTTAATATGCGAAATACTGCAAATCACAACACGCACAGCACCTTTCAAGAACAAACTTCTACAGGACGTGTTGGCACACACACGCCTGAAAAAGCCCTGCGTTTACACCTCACCGAAACACACCTGCCGGACTTCCGTTCGCAAACACCTGTGCACCGATCACAGTCGCTTAAAGCACACACTCCCACTCCTGATGGATTTTCTCCACGCACGCCAGCCTTGGATTCTCTATCGCCAGACATTTTTGATGGTTATATCTCCTCACGAGAGGACTCCACTCTCTCCACCACCTCTGAAGAGTATTATGAATGTAGCGACTCGCTTTTTAATGAGCCTGTTTTTGACCACATGGCTTCTCGTGACCAGGGGATGATAGCGGATCACATTAATTTCGCACACACAAATAGTCTAAATTCTCCCGCCACTGGCACCGGTCCTGCACACAAAAATTACAGCTCAAGTGATGCTACATTAGGTACGGCACACAGTGAAACACAGATTTTGACTGGGGCCGCTAAAGTCCCCAGTTCTTCTTTACTTGGAAAAAAAGTGGAAACTAGGGAGGTAGAGAACAAGGCAAGTAAAGAAGAAGCGAGTGAAGAGGACGAACATGGGAGGAAACTGAGTGTGGCCGAGACGAGGGAAGAGCAAGAATCCCAGGGGACAGAGATGAGAGGCAGTGAGGATACTAATAGAATAATGGTGCAAATTAAACGAGGCAAAGATTCAACTGAAACAGGAGGAAAAGACAAAGAGGTCCAAACGCCTACGAGAAAGGTGGCAAGGAGCCAGTCAGCTGCAGACAGACTGGTGGATGGAGGAATGACTGCAGGAGGGTCAAGTAAAGAGAGATCGAAGCCAAAGCGATCGTCCGCTGGTGACATTAAATCAACAGAGGGAGGGAGACCAGACAGAGAGGGGAGGGAGAACGCTTCAAACCAGGTGGAAATAAGACCCAGGGGTACAGAGAGGAGAGCGAGCCCCCAGTCAAAGAGGCAGACAGAGGGACAGAAGGTATGAGCACTGATCAGAATAACATTTAAAACCAACAAAACGTTTCTTTAGTTTGCCAATCATATCCAAATGGGTATATATACAACTGGATTTTGTTAAAAAACAAAAACATCACACTAATTAATTGAAATTAAGGTAACACATTTTTCCTTCTTTGACAACTTAATTAAAAAAAAAACACAGTTTTTCAATTGGTGACCTTGAGACACTTAGTTGCTGCTGTATGTCCATCGTTTCCAGTCTCTGTGCTAAGCTGAGCTAAGCAGCTGAAACTGTTTAGTATGCAAACATGAAAGTGGTGTCAATCTTCCATTGGAGCCTTGGTAAACATATCTGTATCCGCCAACATCCTTAGTCTCTTGAAGAAACGCACCCATTGCATTGCCAGGGTTCATAATTAGATGCCCAAATGTATTTTACAACTAAATGAGGGCAAAATAAATGTTTTAGTAGATCCCAAGGCTTTACTCTGTGTTAACTTGCGTGACGGAAAAAACCCGAAGCATGCCAAAAATGTGGGTGTGATCTTAGCTTGTAGAAGCACATGCTCACTATCTCTAAGCCGGCCTTTTATCATCTTTAAAAACAACATATCTACAGTTGTAGGTGCTTCCTGTCACAGTCTCAGCCTTTTCTGATGCTTTTATTTTCAATAGAAAATTATGCACCTTTTCCTACTGTAACAATGCAGGTATTAAGTAAATATATGCATAATTATATTTCACCAAATCAAAGGAATAACCCCAACAGTCAAACATTGACTTGGCGACAGCAGGGAAGAAAAACTCCCATTCAACAGGAAGAAAACTCAAGCATAGCCAGGCTCAGGCAGGGGCAGCCATCTGGTGTGACCGGTTGGGGGTGAGGTGTGGTAGACAAGATAAAACACATGCTGTGGAAGAGAGCCATAGTAAGAGATTAATAACTAATGATTAAATGCAGAGATGTGTTTAAACACATAGAATGAAAAGAAATAAGGGAAGAAGAATCAGTGCATCATAGGAAGTCCTCAGCAGTCTAGGCCTATTACAGTGTAACTAAGGGAGGATTCAGGGTCATCTGATCCAGCTGTAACTATAAGCTGTAACAAAGGGTGGGTGTCTTTTATATCTGAACTGGGAGTTGGTTCCACAGAAGTGGGGCCTGAAAGCTGACGGCAGTGCTGCAGGGAGAGTCTTAAATAAAACCAAAAAGTTTAAACGTCCTTCTTATTTCTTCTTCTCTTCGCCTCCCAGTAAAATAATTTCTCACTGCTTGTAAAATCGATGAATGACAGCCTCTTTTCACTCTGTCGGTGTGCTTACTGAATCTAGACCTCCTGGCATCGCTTGAATCACAAAGCAAATACTGAACGATTTCTAAATCATCTAGCTTTATGGTCCCACTCTACCACTTACTACTACAACTACTACTGCTACACCAGTGTGTTCTTTTAAAAAGAGACTCAAAGCGTATCTCTTTTTGCACGTGTGTGATCAATGGGGAAATTTTTCAGGATCAGTGTTTTTTTTATTCCTATATTTTTTATCCTGCTGATCAAAATCCCTTTTTAAAGTGTAAAAGGCGATTGTGGCTCAAGAGTTGGCAGTTCGTCTTGTAATCGGAGGTTTGCCGGTTCGAGCCACGGCTCTGATAGTCTCAGTCGTTGTGTCCGTGGGCAAGACACTTCACCCGTTGCCTACTGGTGGTGGAGGGCCTGGTGGCGCTGTCAGTGCTGTGTGCACCTGTGTGTGAATGGGTGGATGACTGAATGTGTAAAGCGCTTTGGGGTCCTTAGGGACTAAGTAAAGCGCTATACAAATACAGACCATTTAATCTCTTATTTTAGAAGTTTTTGCCATGTGTGATGTCCTTTTTCCTTCTGCTTTGAAGCTTGTTAAGTCTATGCCTGTCATATGAAATGTGCTATATAAAGAAACTTGAAATAGTGCATTTATCAAAGTGCCTTTTTGTTCTTCACTGACAGTTTTTTATATTAAGTTTCATCAAAGTTTAGAAAAATTGAATGTGAAAGGCTTTAATAACATACAGTATTGTGCTAAAGTCTTGAGCCGCCCCTCATTTCTTTATGCTTGGGCAGGAAAAGTATATAAAGCAAAAACAGAGTTTGCACAATTCTAATTTTGAACATTTATATGACTGCATGTTTTTTTCAACACAGTCTGAAGTCTGATAGGCAGCCTTTCTGCAATTTCTTGAAGTAGTCTTCAGGAATAGTTCTCCAGGCTTCTTTGGATGTTGGCTGCCTTTTCTTTTGTTGTGTCAAGATGATCCCATACTGCTTCAATAACTTGAAGGTGTGAGCTCTGGGCTTTAATCAGGTATTCTTTTACTGCCTTGGTAGTGTGTTTTGGATCGTTGTCATATTGTCATGCTAATAAAATGCTTTCCAGAAGGTAATGCATGGTGGATTTTTTTCTGCATTCATAAATTCCATCAGTTCCAGTAAGATCCCCACCATCTAAAATTCAGAACCGTGACAGCGCCTCCACCGTGTAGACTTACTGTTTTACCTTGCACCTCAGCTGGCTCATGATGATTTAAACTAAATTTTCAAATTTGGATTCATCACTCTATAAGACCTGCTGACCCTGATTTTCAGTCCAGTTATTATGTGATTTGTATATCTCAGCCCATTCTCTCTGCTTCCCTTCTTTAAGAATGGCTTCTTGACAGACACCTTTCCATTGAGGCCATTTCAGTGAACAGTAGATCATTGAAGGACATGACTTTCAGATACTGTTCCTCACACTGCACATCATATTCTTTTTTGGCTTATAGCTCTTTAGGAGTTCCATTATTGTTAAACATGTGAAAAGTAGCCATTGTTCAAAGAAAGACTCTTAAAGCCTCAAGAACTATTGCTCAAGATCACTTAAAAAAAAAGTACAAAATATATAACAAATTCAGGGTTGGATCAAGAATTTTGCACAGTACTGTATATAATTGAAATCCTATGTAATATAATTTACAGCATTTGTTTCTGTGTTTGTGTGTTGATCCATGAACCTTTCACCAGCAGAGCATCACTAAGTTGAAACACAGCAGCACAACCATTCTTTGTTCATTATTGAAGGATGCCTCGTGCGAATAAAGGTGGCATATTTATAATGACGTGCTGTGCGTGTTTGCACTGATAGAGTATTTAAAGGAGTCTAAAAGATGAATAGGTTTCACATTTATTGGTGTTTAACTCACTCACTCTTGCCCCGAATCCACTGCCTTTCATCTCAGAGTACTCAGTCTGAGTCAGTGAAGTGTTGTTTGCATGTTTTAGCTTATTTCAGTCATGTAATATTAATGAACGTGAAAATAACACAGACACTTTGCACCCTCTCTTTTCCATTTGCAACAAAGCTTATATGTCACTTGCTAATGCGTGTGTGAGTGTAAGAATCCTACACTGCATTATAGATAAGTTGTCCCACATATAATATATTAAATATGAGAAACTGTTGGCTGCAGAAGTGTTACACACACCCTGAGTCAGACATCTCCTCTGTCTTTCTTTTTTCTGCAGCTTTCACACTCTTCACCCAAACCTCAAAAACAGAGGGTCCAACGTAATCCGAATTTCTTTGATAATATGTCATCTCTTCACAAAACGTCAACCAGACCACCGCAACCACTGGTGACGGGTACTGTGGGATCTATAGCCGGACGGAAACGGGTCTCCCAAAGCCAGCAGAGCCAGGATTCAGCAGCACAGAACCAAACTCCTTATCCAAACTCCTCCTTACTCCATATGAACCCACAGATCCAGCTCAGTACTCAGTCTCACAACCAGACGGCATCTGGACCGGAAGTGCAGGATGGGAGAACTCCATTTAACTTGAGTTTCAGCCGGCTGTGCAACCTTAAGGGGATGAATGGCAAAGTGAACAAGACTCCAGCGCACAGTAAAAGAGGCAGCGTGGCCACTCCAGCACATGAGAGTAAAACCACCAGCTAACGTGGTCACTGGTCATCACGTCTTTTTAATGTTACTGTGTCAGGCGAAATCACCACTGGGCCAATGTTTATATACCAACACATGTTGTTACCTCTTTCTTGACTCCTCGTGTTGTATGACAAATTTTTCATGTCTGCATTTAAACTCGTGGAGATTTATTTTTCATATTTAAATCCAGCTGCCTGCCAGTTTACAGCGAGCTTTCTTCCCCGGGAGGTCATGACTTCAGGTGCAATAAAAAGACTAGACCAGAGTTTGCATACATTTTTAATAACTCGGATGAGGAAACTGAAATAGTGTGTTTTCATTCTCCAACCTCAGGCGTCAGTCAAAAAAAAACAAAAACTCTTACATCAATCAGCTCTTTGACTTACTGTATTTAAACATGCTGCACATATACAGCGGATAAAGCAAAAAGAAAAACAATATATTATTGGCATTACTGGATGACTCCCATATGTTTTTGTGGATTAACGTACGGCTTTAATATCGTATTTTCTATTTTTAAAAATTTTTGCTGTTTGATTAATGGGGATTGATGAAAATGTTCGTTAATAGTGTTTAAAACTGGTACACACCTAACTGCATTTACATAGGACTATATTATATACCATATTAAAGTTCCAGCTGTTATCTAACATTACTTTACATTTAATAAAGAAAACGCTCAGCATTTTGTGACTTTTTTTTTTTTACAGCAATCTGGAACATTTGTCCTGAATTTGTAATATATTTTTTCTCCTCTGTATATCTGTACATTCAAAAAGGGGGTGCATGTTAAAAAAGTGAAAACAATTATAATTTTATTTAGGTCATTTGGTATTGTTACACTGAAAGGCTAAAGAGCAGTTTTCTTTTTTTCACATCAAAAGTATTTTTTTAGATTCTTAATATTTTTGTCCTGGAAGTGACTGTGCCAACAGACTTGCTACCTCTGAAGACAGATAAAGATGTTCTGAAGAATTGCTGCAGGAATGCACCAGATAGTGCACAGGTTTTTCCAAATGAGAGTGGAAATGTGCAGGATGACCAAGATGCTAAAAATCACAAATATCATATGTCGTTTGATGGTAAAAAATAAAATAAATAAAGAAGCATCTTCTGTCTGTAATGTTATAGTTAATGGACAATGCATTTTTAATGAATGTGCAGCATGTTTACGCCTTTGCCAAAGATTTTGTATTTAACTGTTAAGTGTCCACATTGGTGTGTTTGTAGTGGATTTACATAGATTTAAGATGAATTCAGCTCTTTTGAATCCACTGCAGACAGGTAGACATCTGCAAGCATGACTTCAGAGCTCACTTCATGTGAGCTTACACATATGGTCATGAGCTGTCACCATATTTCTGACTTCAAATTAGATTCAGATTTGTAGCAAGGGTTGAATTATGCAAATAGAGGAAAATAAAGCTCTGTGTCTTTAAATGGCTGGAAAAAAATTAATATCCTTTCTGAGCAACATACTAACATGAAAAGGAATAGTTTGTCCCGTAATTCAGCTACAATGAAAAAGGCACAAAGCTGGAGTTATTCTGTGTTTTGCTGCACAGCTGCCTCTTCTTCTCTCATCTCTCCCCCTCCCTCTCCTGTTTCTACTTCAATCATGAAACTGATCAGTGATCAGCTGATCGGCTCTCTTGTTTGTTTATCGCTCACTTTGCGCCGAAAGAGGAAACCAGCGGATGTCGCGCTAAACAACAGCAGCACGTTTAAGCTTGATCAGCTGTTGTTAGAATTTATTTAATATTAATTTCTAGTATCAGCTGATGTTTGCTGGAGCCACAGCTGCAAAAAAGCTGCTGGTCATGATATGGTTTGGTTATCTGGTGAGAGGGAAACATGAAGATGAAACCAGGAGATGTCCTTACTGGATCATCAGAGCTTATGAACTGTTTCTGAGAGACAAATAACCCCAGGATCCTTTTTTAGGTAGCTGACAGCTGGTAACTGTGCAGGGGCGGGTCTAGCAAAGTGTTGCCAGGGGGGCAGGTAGGGCATTAACAGGGAAAGGGGGGCACAAAGAAATACTTTTCTTTCTTATTCTCATTTAAAATGTCTAGCTTTTAAAAAATAATTATCTGAATCTTACAACAAACGATTGATAGATTGATGCATATATACCATCAGAACAGTGAACATCACTGTCACAACAGCGTTTGTTTTCATTCAAAGGCTTTATGATTTTTCCTATAATGGTGGGCCGGTCTCTAGTCAAAATGCCCGGGACGATTTTCTGTCCCAGTCCAGCCCTGTATGCAGCTCATCTGCAGTCTGGTGTTACCTACATCTTCCTATTCAGAAGGCAGAATTTCCGAGTTCTGAGTACAATCGAAAGCACCACGACTGCAGTTTTTGTGTTGGATGTAAAAGTAACTTACCCAACACTGCTAGGAGCACAACAGCCACAAACATGATGATACCTCCACCATGCTTGACAGCTGCTACGGTGTTCTTAGGTTTGAAAACCTAAGAACTCCCCTTTACTCCTCCAGACACACTTCTTGTCATTGTGGTCAAATGCCTCAATCTTTGTCTTGTCTGACTAAAGAATTTTCTCTTAATAACATTTGGCTTGTCCAAGTGAGCAGCTTCAGAAAATTTCATTCAAGCGTGAAGGTTCTGATTTTGGAGCATTGGCTTCTTTTTTGGTCAACAACCTTGCACTCCATTGTGAGATAAAACTTATTTCACTCTCTATGGCGACATTGGTGTTCCAGCTGTTTCCAGTTCATGGCAGGGTTGAGCCTTGGTGGTTCCTGAGTTGCTTCCAATTTCATCTCATCTGTGGGTGACAGTTTGGATCTTCTTCTAGACCGTGACATAGTTTTTGTCAATTAATATTCAGATTGACAACAAAGTAAAGGAAGTTATGTGAGTTATGAAAATCTGCTGGGAAATATGTGTGTTTTAATCTATGAAATGTGAGGCATGTAATTTAAGTCTTCTTTCCGTTAAAGGCATGCAATGATCCATGACACTGCTCTGCATGTTTTAGATAAGAAGAGGAAGGGAAAGTAACAGGAGACGTCTAATGCAGTTGTGCAAACACGCTAACACATTCCTACACTAGGTTTCACATGTTACAAGTCATTGGAGGTCAGGTCCTGGGTGTGGCTTGCCTCCACGCATTTGTTGAATCATATTTTCACTTAAAAATACATTGTTTGCTAAGCACATGGCTCATAGAAAAATATAGGATTAGATGATTATATGTTTGATATACCTTTATTAGTCCCACAAGGGGAAATTTCATAAGGCTGCCGACCTATTGCACGCAATGGCGGCGCCATCTTACCCTCCGACCATATATACATTACACAAAACATCACATGGGGAAGACAGGTCAGAGAGGTATAACAATGGAAAAATGCACCACATGAGGAAACATAAGGAGAAAAAAATAACTCCCCCCAGACTGAGCTCCAACAGGGAGATCAGTTTGAGAACAGAAAAAAAAACACCTCTGCACATAGCACATGAAAAAACTCTTAATACACCAAAGAAACACATGACAAGCAACAGGGGTGGGTAAAGGGTGAGAGACAGCCGATTTAGACAGTACATCCGGGCCTGAAGCCTGTGCGCTGGTCTCCTTGATCCACCGTCAGCATCGGAAGGGAATAAGCGTCGAAGGGAGGGGGGATGAGTGTGTGCATATCAGTGTATATGTATGTGTGTGCGTGTCCAGAGTTCAGCTGAGACAGTATGTATGCAATAAAGTGTAATTACACAGTATTTTGGAATAGTACTTTTGTCCTGTCAGATCATGTAAGGTTAATATGGTCTATATGCAAGTTTTAGCAACATTACAAAAACCATAAAAGAAAATAATACATCATTTCGATATGCAATATGCCTTAAAAATGTTTTCTGGGTCACGCATCCAAACTTAAAACGAATCAGGTGGTCAAAACCCATGTGACAAGGCGAATGTGAATGTCTTCCACGTGCCACTTGTGTTGTTGTGCATGTGACCACAGTGCTCTTGAAACTTGATGCATCTACAGTCATGAAGTTTTTACAGACCTGCAGACCTGTGAAAAAATAAGTGCATCCCATCATTTTACAAGCTTGCAGAACCACCTTCAGGAGCAATGACCTAGACTAATCAGTTTATATGTGACTATCAGTCTCTCCGATCGTTGTGGAGAAATTTTGGGCCAGTTCATGAAGTTTGCAGGCATTAGTTTATCTACATCTACAAGTCCTGCTGCAGCACTTCAATCAGGGTGAGGTCCGGACTTGAGGTCTGGGGCATTGCCACACCATGATTCTTATCTTTCTCACTTACTCTGCTCTAGATTTGCTGCTGTGTTTGGATCACTGGATGAGTTTGGACTCCTGTCACATAGATGGCCTCACATTTGACTCAAGAATTCTTCGCTAGCCAAAGGACTTCATGGTTGACACAGTGACTGCAAGCTGCCCATGTCCTGTGGCTACAAAAAGCCCAAATCATCACCAGTTTTTGTTCAAAGTGAGGAAAAAAACAACAAAACACAAACAAGACAAAAACAAAGACCTCCTGGCTGATAAACCTACAACTTAAAACAGGACCACTATCTCTTGGTGGCTAGGCGCCCAGGCACCAGAAGCCAAAACACACCTTATGCATAACGGCAATATGTAGTTGGAATTTGATAAAACAACATTGTATAATGCTCTAGGATAAGAATGTGTTTCAATTAAACATGCCATAAGCTTGCAAATAGCATCTTTTATGTTATCTACTTGTGATGCTAGATGATCTGATCCTGACTTTGTGTTCACTGCTTGTTGCTATCTCGACTAAAGCCAGAAAATTAGGATCTAAGCAAGTGGGTGGATCCGGGGTTCGGATGGTTCAGACATGCAGCAACCCCAAGGGGAACGAAACAGAAGAAAAATGCATCAGCGACATGAATGTGTGCCAGATACATAACCTATATTGTCAGTAAGCTGTGCAGTGTTAACTGGGATCAGCACCTACGCATAAGACTTATTCATTACCTCTCTGCCCAGCTCAAAAATAATCCAGATCTTTTTTGTTTAGTGAGACACACACACACACACCCTCAAACATGCGACAGCACTGTCATGATGATGGTTTTGTTTTTGTAGATGAGTGTAAGATTGGGATGGCTCAGTCCCAGAATAGCACACCATGCACAATGAAACACACACACGCACAATTTAAATAGAAACCATCCACTCTCCTCTTGGCTATTTATATGGAGATGAGAGCCTTGAATACATGGTGAACATGCACGCACACAGGCGCGCGTGAGAGCGTAGAAGTCAGCGTAACATCATCCATTCAGCTGATCGCTCCAAGCTCATCATAAATGAAAATGCCAGATTTACTCTCAGAGGTTGCAACACAGAGAAGAATGACACAATGGGCTCTCTCTCTCTCACACACACAAACACACACACACTGAGTCAAAACTGTTTTAGGTCACTGCTTTGTGTACAGCCCTTTGGGCCCTTTAGCTGCCAAGTGTCCCACTCACACACACACACACACACACAAATGAAAGCATTGTTTGCACTGCTGTACAGATGCACAGGTCTGAGAGTCTTGTGTCTGTGGGCAAGGTAAGGTGCAGGTGACCTGGGGATTAATTCGAGACATCCTTTGATGCCAAACGTTTCTGACACTTGACACGAGTAATTCTGTAATTAGTGCCTTTTCATGCTCGGCCCACCCTCTGTGTAATGAAGTGTCCCTTTAGCCAGTTTGGACTCGACTGTGGACACACGTGTCATTTAATGATGTAAGCTTCAGTTTTTCTGGGTGTCTCTGTTTAACTCTTGGATCAGCTGTGTGAATGAAGAGGAAAGTAATGCTCTGGTTCTTTAAATAGCTGGAGAAATGTTCATATCATCCTTTCTGAGCAGCAGCGGATGATGACATACTAATGTCTGATAGTGAAATATGTTTGTTGAAAATGTTTCACTTCATTGAACCTATCACTGATACACGTAATACAAAGTACTGACACATTAAGAAATAAAAGGCTGTGCAGATGGCAGTTGTGGTGAGACATTTGCATCCACTCATCGGGGCTTTTAATGGTTCCTCTGAACTGCTATTTTCCGATGGTGGGATAATTGTACAGCATACATCTTTAATGACTTTAAAAACCAAGGTTTGAATTTATTTTGGATTTTCTTGAATCCACACAGGGTAAAAAGTATACATGGATTCAAATATGCACATATACCCCACTAATATCTGATTAAATGTTGTTTAGTAAGTTGCACCTCAACCAGATGCTTTTGGTAGCTATCGACAAGCTTCTGCCAAAGCTCCGTCTGGATATTTAACCACTCTTCTTGGTACAATTGGTAGAGTTAATTTGAATCGGTTGTTTCCTGGCATGAATCTGGCTTTCAAGCATAGTCCTCGAGGTCAGGGCTTTGTGAAGACTATTCCAGAAGCTTAATGTTAGCCTTATCCATTCAAAAAACAGTTTGTGTGTTTAGGATCATTGTCTTACTGGAGCACCCAACTGTGTCCAGTTTCACCCGTCTAGCTGTTGATTTAAGGTGAAGTTTTTTTGGCTGTAGTC